GAATATTTTTTTTTTAAATGTTGTCATTATAGCATGTTCTTAATAGCATTCTATTCATTTTTTATGCAGTCCATGGCTACCTTTTCCAGCGTTGCAACAGTTTGAATGCAACGATGGAAAATGGGACGTTAAGGAAAGTCCATACGTTTACCGATCCTGTTTTCATTTTACTCACAAATCCAAAATTCTGATTATCACTTTTCTACTGAATTATATTTATCTAAATGATTAAAAATAAATCTCTTTTATATTTGTTGGTTATAATTGACATTGTAGATACAAAGTATTTAACTTATATTATTTATAGAAATTAACACTTTGCACGCTGTCCATAGGATATATATGTTTTACATGTATACTACATAGTATTACACAGACACACAATTTTCAATTTTCTCCATGGACCTAAAGCTTTTTAAATTTCTTCATGCAGAGTAACTTGATATAAGTTTTTATTGATTTTTTTAGCCTGTGTTATCTGGTCAACCTTAATGAAGTGTGTTTTTGTTAACTTTATTCTAGTACAGAAAAAAATGAATTTACAAAATTGGATTTCTGAGAATTACTAAAAATAAAGATTTTTTTAATCTGATAGACATAAACAGATTCAACATCAATTAGTCATGTTTTTCGATAAAGAGTTTAAATATTCTCTTGAAAAAATGATATTTTTTTTTATTCATAAATTTTAACAAAAAATTGAGGTGATTTGGTGCATAGCTAAATAAACTGTACTTACTTAGTAATAAATATAATTTTTTGCATATGCGCTATGGCTGACGTCAAAATAGCCGTATCAGCCCTGCAGGGCTGATATTGATTTGCCGGGCTGATATAGATTATCAGCCCTGCTGCGTGCAGGTCTGATACGGATCAATATCACACATTAGTAAATTAAACCTTAAAATCTGTAATTGTGATCATACACATATTTTGGGGGTACCATAATTCTGTTAATTTTATTAATTCAACTTTTTGAATGTAATGATAATCTAACTGATAAAGAATAGATTATTTTAAAATTACGGATTGGGGACATTTGGAATAGAAGTACATGCAGAAACAAACCGAATCTGTATGAGACAATAGACTGTGTACATTTTAAGAAGTCCGTGAATGATTATGTACTTATTTCCTTATCGACTTATTGTGTTCTCTATTTTATTACTAGGTATGTAATAAATGTAATAAAACATACCCTTTTCCACATCACATCCTGTATCAGCCCTCGACCAATATCAGCCTTCAGTCCTCTGGCTGTTATTGGTGTCTCGGGCTGATACAGGATGTGGTATGGAAATGTGCATGTATTATTCTCTATATAACATATCTTTATTTTCAATTTGGTCGTTGAATTTTTAGAGGTAGGTACACTGGACATATTGTTAGAAAATTAACCTGAAAAGAGATGTCTTTAATGGGTGTTTTAATTAGTTCATGACTTATTCAAGGTATTCAAAATAATATATTATCAGTTTGACAGAAATTTGGAATATATGGAACTACCGTTTACAATCAATCAATATTACTGCATATTTTAGCTATTTTCTTTTTTATAGGTAACTTGTCATCCAAGTTAATAATTCAATGGGAAAAGTTGTGATAAAAAGCACTTTGATTTGGATTACCCTGCTAATATCATGGACAAATTTGACTAAAGGGCAAATACTATATGATGTACTGGTGGGTGAAACATGTTCTGGGACAGAGGAATTGGATTTTTTAAAAAAAGAAGTTACTGCTTTGCAGAAAGTAGTAAAGGAGCAAGCAATTCAATTGCAAATTCTAGAGGAAAAACTTTACTCCATTAATCAAATACTTTCTTTAAGTAAGTACAAAATCGATTTATTTTAAATAACTATTATTATTTTTATTCATTTCTAATTTTTAAAACATTGAATTTATTCTCTTTATTTAAACTCTTACTATGTTTAAGCTTCAAGTTTTAATTTGCCAAATTTTAAATTTAAAAAAAAAAGATAATAACAATATTAAAATGTAACTTCATGAGCACATGGTTCAGTTTTTGAAAGTTTAACATATATAAATTATGCAGCTACGTCATGTATCTTAATTTGCATATGTTAACTCCATTGGATGATACTGTATGACGTGTTTTCTTTGCGGGCGTTAAATTTGGCGTTTTGTTCACTGCTAAGCATGCTGATAATTTTGGCGAAATTTATTTTAGCGTACGCAAGGATTTCAATAATTGCAGATGGACACTAAGAAAAATACTGACTATTTCAGCGATTAAAATTTAAGCGGACTCTCATTAAAACAAAAAATAAGCCAAAATTAGCAATCCGCCATAAGTTAAAACATATCCTTTATGCTTCTGAGACTTTATAAATCTGAAGAAGTAATCACATTTATATGCGCATTGTTGTTCGGAGTCTGTTGCAACTCTTACTTTAGCTCCAAAGAAAAAAGATATTAACTGGTAAAAATTTACCAGAATGTCATCGCGTACTTATAATATAGGCCTTTCAATTGCCGCTAGGGGTCGATGTTATGAACGATAACTCGCTGCTGAAACTTGTTTAGAGCAGGCTCGGGGTATCTACCTGTTTACACGGAAGACAGTTTTTAGCATTTTTCAAGTCTTTCTTTGCTCTCAGTAGAATCCAGTGGTTTTAAAATTTAGCACCAATGTTAAACTTATTTACTGTTTAGTTGCAGACATCGGTTTACTGCATAGAATTAAATTTTTAAATTAAAATAAAAAGTGAAATCTACCCTCCTTCTCAGTTCTATACTAATTAAAGTTTTATACTCGGTCGTTCCCCTTCGTGCTTAGTAACACAAATAAGATGATCAATTGTTGCATTTATTTGTAAATATATATATATATCTACACAGGAAGCGAAAAAGCGCGAAAACAAAAAACATGACATTAAATTTTCTTCTTCATAATAATCGTCAAAGAGAGTTAAAACTAGTGAATATACTCTGTTCCCCATTCATTTAACCCTTTTATTTCAGGTAGAGTGAAGACATTCTCTTTCTCTTGGTCAAACGTTTTGTGTACAAAACAATGGAAGGAACCCTTTTGTGTATATAACAATAATAACAATACCAATGCTGAAGCAGCCTATATGTCATTCCTATAAACGATAACTCAAAAATCGGCACTAAGATGGTCATTTTTCACACCTGAGTTACCTGTCCTTAAACACAACATCGGAAAAGTCAATTATAAATTATTAAACTTTTTAATAATGTAATTAAAGGTTCGCATAAGTAATTATCTTTTTTGATAATTTCATGTACCTATAACTCTATCTATACAATGTTTTTTACCATATGTGCAACTTGAAAAATTAGTTGAAAGGCTTATATAATACTAATATGCATAAACTCTTGGTTAAAACACAATTATGCTAGTCCTCTTGAATTTCAAAATGTGCATTCGTCCCTATATTATAAACGCAACGATAGATTACTTACAGCGTCATTTAATGTCAATAGATAACGCGTTAGATCTTTTTTTGTGTATGGAAACGATAAGGAACCATTAACAGTACTTAAAATACTACCATCCTATGATTACATGATTTGAACCAAACTAGACTCTACATTCCCAAACCCCTTTGTACATGTGAAAAGATGGGCTCTATTTCTATAGCAACTTGAAATCAATGAACTATCACTTGCAGTTTGACATGTCCTTTTAGGTTCGAACTTTAACACTTAAATTTGTCCCAATAACTGATTATGTCCCAATAACTAGTCATCAAAGAAAATTGCTTTCAATGTGACTAAATCGATGATAATTCCCTAACCCATTTTATATATTGTTTCGAAATGCCAATTGTCGAAACACTACTTCCAATCTCTACACAAAAAATATGTCCGACTTGCCTTCACATTTATTTTGCCGAATTATCTGAATTCTATTCTGCTCATTGAAATCAAGAGATTTGTTCTACCATTCATACATTTTCAATTATAGAAAGCGTTGATTGAAAAAATAATGTATAAAAAAGAATTCATATATGGAAAGTATGATATTGGAAGCGAAACAGGTTCTTATAAAGTATGATGAGCGTCAAAGACGTGCATCATTCCTTGGTACGTTAATATTAGGACCAAAAGTAAATCACATTAGCTTTATGAATAGTTTGGCAGTGACAAAAATCTACATTTCGGTCAAAAGAAACTATATTTTGCAGATTATGGAAAAACTTACATAAAAAATTTAAACTTTAAGCTTAACAAATTAAGTATAAAAACTTTCCTTAATCTTCAATCACATGCAATATATGCTGAAAAGAAAATAAAAAACATGATAAACTGTTAAGGTGAATTAAATTTATTTTTATTTTCATTTTTTTGCAGTATTCCTATTTAACTTTTCAAAACAATTTCAAGAAAAATAAACCAAAATCCAATTTGATTTTGTCTTATAATTCGTAAGTTATTGAAACTCATATGACGATACCCCATGACGATACCCCATGAACGTAAACATTAAAAACTTATTATCTTCTATGTCTCCACTGCACACTTGTCACAGCCTTAATTTTCGTTGTCATTGAATTTATCAGAGTGTTTATCTTTCATACCCTGTCTACATTGAGCATGAGAACCACACGATAAAATTGATCTAACAACCTGCGCATGCGCCAGTGAAAGGAACAAAAACGTAAAGTTGACTGGTAAAAAACACAAATTGCACAATTGGTTTCTTTCAGTTTTACGGTAAATGTAAAGTTTATTAAAAACTACTGTATTAATAGCGGTTTTGGTGGTTGTTATGTGTCGATTAAACAAAAGGCAGGTCGAATAACCTGACCGTAACTTGACTCTGCTTGATTTTCTTTGTTACGTAAATAATGATATAAATATAAGAAATATGATGACATTTTAATGTTTCATTTGGATTTGAATTGAAGCTTGTACGTGATAAAATTTTCTGTAACTTGAACATGTGACTTACTTCACGTCATACAAAATATTGCTTCCTAAAAGCATTACAAACATGCATAAATAAAATTATGGATCGGGGTATCGAATTTGCAGATGACATTCCAACTTCCACATCTTTATCAACAACTAGAAAATTCTCTACCAGTCCAACAATAAAGATATACACAACATCAGCGAAGCTTGAATCTGTAATCACACAGAAAACAAACACGATTGCGACAAAAGGAGCAACATCAACCACACAAACAATAGGTAAAATTTTGTGCTTTTACCTCAAGATTCTTAGGAAATTAATAGGAAAATTTTGTTTATCTGCTTTTACATTTTGAATATAATATTTTTAGGTAGCAGAGGCAAAGAATTTCTTATTTTGTTCATGGGAAAACTTTCCACAACATCAGGACCAATGAGAGTATTAATTACAACAGATAGTAATTCATCTGTAACGATCTCCACTTCACCTAATTTAGATGCAGCCATTAAATTGCAAACAGACAGAATAACAAATATTACCACGTCTTCAAAAATTACATTTCCTTTTAAATTGTCATGTGACTACTTCAAAGTTGAGTCAAAAGCTATACTGCTGCACATATCTCAATTGTCCACCATATCCATGTTTGATGGGAACGATGGAACACTGGTTTTTCCAACAAACAAATTGTCAACAAAATATATTGCAACAAATCCATATCGATCAAAGAGTGACTATTATAGTCAGTTTGCTATTGCAGCCTTGTATGACAGAACGAATATAAACATTAAATTCAAAACAAAAACCACAGCTACAATTGCTTTACTTGGTGGAACATACAAAAATCAAGACGTTTTCACACTTACTTTAGAAAAATTGGAAACTTTTCAAATAGGACACACTAGTGATCTCAGTGGAACCTTAATTGTGTCTACAAAGCCTATCGCTGTATTCTCTGGAAATCGATATCAGTATCTAAAAGGTAGTTACTATGGTCACATGATAGCTCAGCTTCCCCCTACTAACGAATTTGATTATCAGTACATTGTGCCTCCCTTCTACAATAATGTGGCAACGTTGATTCAGGTTGCAAGTAACATTCATAGTTCAGTTAATGTAAGTATCGGTACCGGCGTATCAACGTGGAACATGACTGACGAATACAGAAATTTGGAAATAAAGTCTAATGAAGTAACTCTTTTAGAGTCTGAAAATCCTATATTGGTCACTGGTTTTGGAATGGGTTCGAGCATAAACAGCCCTTATATGACCGGTATTCCAGGTGTCCATCAATATCTCGACTTCTATAAGGTGTTTGTACCAGACGGATATACAAATAATTATCTTTGTGTGATTATACAGCATAAGTTTAAAAACAACCTGCTGTTGAACGGCTATTCTACAGAAAATTATTTAACTGTGCAGGAGAGTAGTTCAATCATTTCACAAAATACTTTTAGCATCCTTACATTTACAGTTAACAATGGAACAATAGTTTTATCAACAACCAATAATGCCAAATTTGGAGTTATTGTCTATGGACATAAGTATCGGGACGGATATGCATATGCTGGAAATTACGTACTTACTTAGACTTCTTAACTTTTGAAATTGAAGTCATCCGTTACTCTTTGTTCATGTATCAATGTACGCATAATCATCGATTCATTTAAGTAGTTTGTTGTCTTGTATCAAATTAGACAGATAAGAAAACTGAAAACAAAAATTCATCGGAGTAAAATGATTTTTTGGGTCAAAGATCATGAGAGTTATTTTGGATAACTTGAATAAATTAACATAAATGTCACTACTCAGTTTATTTTTTTTGATTTACTTACGGAATGAATACCCTGATATAATATTCATTTTTCACTTTTATCATTAACATAAAGAGTGTAAATAATAAACTTTGATGCAATGTCTTTTTTTTAACTATTTTATTGATATACTGTCTGCATATTCTCCAGAAAAGTTATATTGTGACAGTCGTATATTTGTATACCGATATATTGAAAAAGTTTTAAAAAGACCTACATGTATATAAATCGATATTGCGACGGCATATCCTCAATGTATCGTGCCAAGTTTTTACACATAAACTCAAAAAGCATTAAGGTATTTGAAAAGCGCTGCGAACCTCATGAATTAGTTCGTGCAAATAAATTAATTACACCTACATTCAATGAAGTTGACAATAAAAATATTAAACCTGATGTCTTACAAATGAACTTTTAGCAATTAAATAGTGGGATCTAGAGGTTCGCTACACTTTTCACAAAGTACATACAGTGTTGAGAAGAATTATCAATTGAATAAATATTTAAACTTGTTAATGCCCTTGCAATATTGGAAAACGTAGGCTATCTCGAGATTCCTGCCTATATTTTGCACCCATTTACATCAATATCAATAGCACTATTGCCATTAAATCTTTCTTTAATACGAAGAATTGTTCAATGATAATTAATTAATTATTTTGAAACCAGCGCTAGATAAAAAATAATCCCAAATTCTAGCCCTTAAAAAGGTGGTAGATTATGTTTTCTATCGGTTTTTCAAGCATCAGCTTATTTTGAATTAATAATATAATAGTGTTGTGTTTTGCGTGCACTATGCCTAAATAGTAGTCAGGGTTTGACACATTGTGCACAAGCCGGAGGCGAGTGCACTATGTGTCAAACCCTGACTTCTATTTAGGCATAGTGCACGCAAAACACAACACTATTGTTATTATTATGCTGACTGTTGTATAAAAACAACAATATTTTCTCCGTTTCCAATCTTTCATCACCTCTCACATTCTCGTTTGTGCAGCCCTATTATGACGTCATGTTGTGCTACATATACGTCAAAAACTGTTTTCTTTTATTTTGAATATTTCAAGCATTTGGTACAATGAACATATAGTTTTAGAGAATCATAGTTGAGCAAAGGAAAAAAATTTGCCAGAAACCATTTTAGAAATTTATTTTATTCCTTTTTCTTCTTTACTGGTAAAATATTTGAAACCAAGTTTATATATATTATAGTATAATTATGAAGATTATGGCTCCCGTGACGTTATCGGTAGCGCGTCAGACTGACAATGTCGGGGTCGTGAGTTTGCTCCCCGGCGTGGGCGTGGTCTAATTATCTTCAGAAATGGAAAGCGTGCACTATTTCGGCATAGTGTGCTTACGCTATATAAATCCTTAGAACACTATGCGGGAATAGTAGGGTATTGGTTATATAAAGACAAGGTGACAGGAAGCTTATTAATCTTGAATATGATCGATTGTTCCTAAAATCTTTTCTTATGTGTTACGCAGATAATATTAAACATATATCTCAGCTATGTTAAGGACCGATATGGAAAATGTGACCTTTGCATCGTTTTAATATGTAATATTTCTTTTTAAAAAATGTGACAAAGCAACTGAATACTTGTATAAAATGTAATACAGCAATCAATAATGGATAGAAATGGGCCGTAGTTATTACAGTTATATCGCATGTATCAGCTGTTTGTCACGTGACTTGTATAAAAACAGAATTATTAAGCTCAACGTAGGAAATGATTATAGTGCAAGGGTATACGCTTGTTTTTCAAGAGCAAAATTGATACGCGTTATAAAATGTTTATTTCCTCTATCCAAAACGTGCTGGGAGCTAGTCTGTGCTCTTTGCGAAGTACTAAAAATTTTGCCGAAAATGCTTATAATGAATAAAAATTTCAACTCCGCATAAATTCTGTTTAAATAAAAATAATGTCATGCAGACCAGGATCAGCCTTCATCACTTTACAAAACATACGCTATCTAAGCAATAAGGATTCCAAATTTCAGCGATATTCTCTTCATTCCTTTTCCCTGTGTAGCACCAATGCTACTAGATAAATTCCTATTCTACACAAATTGTATTTAATAAATGTTCTTTTAGGATTAATGATTAGGTTTAAAAATTAGCGATTATATCATTTTATTTAGGCATTCTTGGAATTATTAAACCAATGAATTTAGTCCTCTGGATTACCTGTGCTGCGCTATATCAAGGCTGTTGACGTCATATTTGAAGAAAAACTTTCTTCTATTATTCGACTGTTTTGCTATCAAGTATTGCAATTTTACAAGATTTTATATATAATTGATAAAAAAATAATAAATTCAAGTTGTTATTTATGCATGATAATGTTGTTAATTAATTTTTGTGACTTGTTAAATTTCAATGACGTCACAATTAGATTTCCAATACGGTGTACCAAGAATGTGAACTTTGACCTTCCTTAACATTAGTTGTAAACCGCCTTGAAAGCGATGAAATAATTACCATTTTTGTAGGTTTTGCATATAAGTATATGCCCCCACTCCCCGTGAAACAAAAAATGCTTTGGTATGAATTTGTGAAATGACAGTCCATATTACCTCAACATAAAAAGGATTTAACAAAGTACGGACGACGTAAAATATGTTTAAATATACAGAACTATGAATTCATGTCTACTACAAAATGCAAAATTGTTCACCTACATTAGTACTGAATAATTTTTCAACCACGATATAAAACCTCCATGAACCAATATATTTTTTTTTCAAACCACGAAAATTTAACCCTTAGAAAAAGTGATTTTACAAAATTAATCAAAAGAATCGAATTGGGGGAAAACCGTGTTTGGGTAAAAACACAGGATGTTTTTGTATAAATATCCTGTGTGCATCTAATCCAATTCTACATTACGTCAAAATGTAAAATATTGCTCAAGATGTTACATGTAGTACCTAGGCGAAAGATAAAGACAAAACATCGAATATCACCTTTTGGTTATACTGTTACATCAAGCATGAGATTAGACATTATGCACAGGTAAACCGATTACCATAACCTTAAAATTTTTACCATAATATTTTTTTTTAGTTTTTAAACACAGTCCAAATTCAGCAAAATATTTCTTTTTTGACGGAATTAGGCCACGATCTCCTTGAATAAATTCTCACAGTGTAAGATATAAACTGAAATACTTTAAAAAAAATAATTTTGCCTGATTTTATTTGGAGTATTGAATCCTACAGTGACACCGGGAACTACTCGAACACCGACCAAGAATGTACCAATACCAACAACTAATCTAACGACGACTTTTGATGAACTGGGCATAACTACAACAGAAATAGCAAAAACTACTCAGACTCTATCAACAACTACTCAAAAGGGCACTGGAACAGGTACAAATAGCCAAAATAGCTCGTTTAATCTTTTTACAGGTAAAAAAAAAACTGTTGTTTTTTATTTCCCTTTCCACAGGACGTATTATAGAAAATATTTAATATATTTTTTCAGGTAACAAAGGCAAGGAATTCCTTTTCCTTTTCATGCACAATCTACGTTATGAAGGAACCTTATCAATATACATCACAACAGATAAAGAAGCAAATGTCACCTTGGTAACTTCACCTTTCTTGAATGAAAATATTAAATCAGCAATTGACAGCCGACAGCATTTTATTTCCAATACAATGATACTTTTTCCTCATGAAATGATGTGTAAATATATGACAATTGAATTCAAAGCTGTAATATTACAAACTTCGGCAATATCGACAGTAACTATGTTTCAAAGAAATTTCGATAAACAATCCAGCGACGGAACACTGATCATTCCAACAAACAAACTCTCCACTAAATACTTAATTTCTTCAACAGAGCCGTTTTCTTCATCGGCTGATTATAATAGTCAATTTGCTATCGGGGCCCTATACGAGAGAACACAAATCAATATCACATTCAAAATGAAAGAAAAAATTCCAGTTACAATTTTCGGGAAAGTATATACAGACGGAGATATCTTTCAAATAACATTGGATAGATTTGAAACCTTTCAAGTGAACCATATCACAGACCTGACCGGCACATACATATCATCAACGAAGTCAATAGCAGTGTTTTCTGGTAATCGGTGTCAGAGGTTTAAAATTGCCTTTTGTAGTCATCTTTTAACCCAGGTACCACCTATTATCGAATTAGACAATGAATACATTGTGCCTTCATTCTTTAATAATTCAGAGACTTTAATTCAGATATTAAGTGAAAGTCAGGGCTCTGTGAACGTAAGTTTCGTAACCAATACAACAAACATACCTTTAAATAGAAAAGAAAGTAAGAACATTGAAGTTGCCCAGAATAAAACTACAGTTGTTCTCTCAATCAGCCCGGTATTAGTCACTGGTTTCGGTATGGGATCTGAAAATAACGACCCTTTTATGACAGTTATCCCTGGTGTTAATCAATATGTCAATTACTATAAGTTTATGATACCAGATGGATTCGCAACAAACTTTATTTGCGTAGTAATTCAAAGAGATGCAATAGATTATCTTCAAATTAACGGAATAACAGTAAACCTTTACCAACCTGTAAACGAGAGCCTAGTTTATTTAAACAGATTTTACGTTGTCCGTACTTTTGGGGTCTCGAATGGAACGTATCTTCTTACAACAACGGACGAGTCTACTTTTGGAGTGATTGTGTATGGCCATGATCGCATTGACGGTTACGCATTCTCTGGAGACTTTGTCTTTCCATAGATCTCTTGGAAGAGCATATTATATTCATGCTTAATGTACATCTTTTTTAATTTTAAGATTTTGATAATTATTGAAATTTAATATTTAATTTCGAAATGAACTGTCATGTTTATATCATACTAAACACAACGGAAATCATTCAAAAGATAAGGGAATTGCATACAATCAATTTTTTTTTATAAAATATTATAATTTTTTATCTGAAATTAGTGTTTCAACTATGGATTCTCATGATTTTTTTTTTCTTTTTAATTACCAGTGCTCGTGAAAGACAAATAACTTGTTCAAGACTAATATGTCTGCGAAAAAAAATATTTTTTACTTTAATTTTTTTTCAAGGTTAATAATATATACATGTAACTTTAAGAAATCCCCACTACATGCATCACAATAAAAAATTCTATTACTTGTTTGCAAAAAAAGTTATACCATTCGTGTTCCTGTGTGGCGTATTGGATATTATTGAATTATTTAAATCAATATCATTTGAAAACCGGTCTGGTATGCAAACAAAGCAAAATCCAAAGGCGTTCTTAATGTCCTTGCTATGAGCGGTGAATTGTAAATTTGTGATCACAGGCACTAGCCCAGTTCACGAATAAACCTCGATCCTTTCATTGTGAAGAAGCTACTGCTATTTCAAAATTTTTGTCCCAGATAGGTATGGTAATCCCTGATGAATCTAAAATCAGTCTTCTTGCGGAATGTTCCTGTCTACAAAAACATTTTTTTTTAATAATTATAGCTTGGTGATCTTAGACGTTCAGTGGGGTTACATAATTGACCTTGTTTTTACGCAGTGATCATCTATAATTTTCGACAAAAGAATCATTACACATCTTAATTCAAATTACGCTAAATTACATCTCTTTATATGCGCTATACATTTGCAATGATATCTTTAAAATTGTCTTTGAAAGATAAAGATAAAAAAACAGGAATAAAGTTGTATAATTCCAATCAAAATTTCATGTATTGTTTTCCTTATTTTTGAGATGACGAGAACAGAGTCAAAAAGTTTATAAATCGATCAGATCTCTCAGTCAGAACCACTTTTTTTGCCCAGCTTTTATTGACACAAAACAATTAAACAAATGATTACTTACAGTATGTTTAAGGTAAACGATATCTGAAAATTAAACTCAAACAAAACTGGTGACAAACAGAACTTAGATACGGATAATATGCGTATGTATATTATGCTTCAGATAACAAGTGTGATTTTTTTTAATTGTCGTACTTACCATGCTTATATTAAAGGGTAATTTGGAAAAGACCAAATCTTTGCATAACTTTTGTTATATACCAAGAAAATTAAACCTATAGTGTTACATAACCATCAAGTTGAAAAATCAGAAAAAAAATTTCACCGGTTGATTTTTACCATTTTGCTTTTCCCGATAAAACTCATCTGATTTGGTATATTTCTCTTAAGTTTATATTACACTTTTAGCACCAAGCTTACAAGCTTACTCTGAAATATATTTTCATCTGTAGACATCCACTGAGTGTGATTTATCCAAATTAGTAATTTTATTGAAGTATTCACCTACATTTTATTTTGAACTAGATTTGAATTCAACGTGTAATCACTATTTTAATACCTTATTAAACTCATTTTAACTAAAAATTCAAATAAAGTGTTTTTGTGATATCAGATTACTCTGTTGATCACGTGGGGGACATTTATGATATGCTCGCTCCTTCATGGCGCCTGATCCCATCTCTGATGTCTCGGAGGTCTGCGTTTGCTCTGCTACTGTTTCGTATTTTTTTGTGGACTTAGTTGTTAGATGCTGTTCGCTATCTCTGTGTCATTCTTAAACTTTGCACAAAATAGCATTGGCACAAGTGCAAACAAAATTATTGTTAAAAGTTTCTTACATAGATCAATTCATCTTGATCTCTGGTACATATGAAGTGCTAGAGCAAGTTTGAATTTTCAAGTTTTTGATACTTTTTAAGAAAATATCTGACGATAAATTCAACTTACCATCATAAGAAGGGGTATTTTCCACTCTTTGTCGCAATTTATACAAAAATAAATTGACTACATACATTTTCCCACCAAAATTCTATAAAAGGACATACACTTCTTGTATGTTCGCACAGAATATCTCCCATTTATCTTTATTATTCATTTGTGCCATTCAAATATACTGAAAGGAAAAAGAAACGCAGGGTAAACGTTTAAGGTGAATTAAATTTGTTTTTCTTCAATTATGTTTTAGTTTTCCTGTCTTACGTTTAAAATCATCTTTCAAAGAGATATTTCCAAATTCCCATTTGATTTTGTCTAATAATTCATGAGTTATTGAAGCTCAAATGACGATACCCCCCAAAAGAGAAAATCGAAAACTCTCAATATCTTCAATTTCTCTCCCGTGCATCTGTCAGAGCCTTATTTCTCCTTCTCATGGAATTTCATCAGAGTGTTAATCTTTCAAACCCTGGCTATATTTGGCACGGGTAACCACGCAAAAAAAATTAGTCGAACAACGTGCGCATGCGCCGGTGAGAGGAATACAACAGTAAGTTGACTGGCTCACAAATCCAAATTGCGGGATTGTTATCTTTCAAATTTCGTATGAATGTAATGATTATAATCGTCTACTGTATAAATGGTTGTTTTTGTGGTAGTAAGATGGTGATTTAAGAGATGGCAGGACGAAAAACCCGTTCATAACATGGCTCTGTTTCGCGTTAACGTCATCGTCAGGGTTGATTGAAAACCAATCCAGACCCTCTCTGACAACGGACAACAAGTTTTATGGGGGAAACTTTACAGGAAACCGCTTGATTAACCGTTGTTGCCTTTTTCATTAATTATGAAATTCGAAAACAAGACCCCATTGAACTTCCTTAAACTGTGCCAAGATGCAAGAAATTCATAACGTCTCATAATATTGAAAAACGATGTGCATGCCTCATATGCATCAAAAATGCAACACGATTTATTGACAAACTCGTCCTTATCAAACTGCACGTGTATTGGGCTTTTTAGCGTTTTCCCTATGTGACGTCATAAATTTTACGGTTGAGTAATACTGAATACTGATTTTGGTGTACAGCAACTTGATTTCTCTTCTGACCAATTTTCGTAATTTTCGGTCACGCGGTCAAAATTTTTTCGAATATTGTGCTACCTTGCGTTTCTTTTTCTTTTCAGTATATAAACACGATGTAAAAAATTAATACTAACTCAGTCTAAGGGCGTGTAAGGGGAGCGTTACGCATTCAATTTTTCGTTTTTGTTTGAATATGTACACATCGGACAAGCAAATGGAACAAAGATATTTAAATTTCAAATGTTCAACATTATAACGTCTAACTGTATCTTAAAAAAAAAGAATCCCAAAACTTGAATCAGGGTTGTCCGATCCTCGGGTTTATAAAATTAGAAGTTAAGTTATCAAAAATGAACATAAAAGTATCGCCGAATCCACAAATTTATGTAATTTTATCCACACTTTTTCTTCAAAGTTAAAGATTAATTCAAAGTTAATCATATTATATTGAGAAAATTGTCAAATTTCCAATATTTTTTGCAAGAAAGGCGAATTGGAATATCAGCAATGCATTTTCTAATTGCAGATTTATATACAAATATATTTTAGGTTAAATAACGATAGGCATCCAGGCATTCAGAGATATTGCCATGATTTTTATACTTATTTAATATTTTCTGTCTTCTATTTCCGTTATGTATTCTATAATACATAGTGTAAAAAGCTTTTGCTATCATTGTAATACACCATAAATCACCTCTTATTTCATATCATCCTAATAAGAAATGGTATCTAACGGTGAAATCAGGAAAATCGTATTTCTCTTAAACTGTATGATTTTTTTTTTCATTAATAGGGTACGAATGTTAACTTTTATAAGACCTTCCCTAAGACTTCCAAAAACCTAATTCTTATAATGATGAATACAATGAAAAATGTAGCATGAAAAAAAAAACATCATTTTTCAGGCTTCATTTTGATGCAATTCAAATTAAACATTAATTTTTGGAGCTATCCTTCCTGGCTGAGGATCGAATATTCTTAAATAATAACGACAAAATAATCTGCAGGTCATGTAAAAGGAATGAAAAAAAATGTGACACTTTCCCTATCATGTTAGATCAAGTATGCAGTGACTGGACGTCATATCTTTGTACTTCAGTTACTCACCCATTCTCAATATAAGGGCTCAAATAATGTCGCCTCATTTTCATTTAGAAGAAATACAACTGATGTAATTTTTAAATCAACATTATAAATAGTCATATAACAATGAATAAAAATTCATATAATTATCGATCTGAAAGGGTATTTAAGGAGTTCCAAATGCAAATATAGTAGCGTATTTGAAATGTACGTTACTGTCGCCGAGGCAAATATTATTTTTCTTTGTGATAATAAATCATTTTTATTGTGGAATGTCCCTGTCGCTGAATTCTATTTCAACCACATCACAAGCAAACACAAAGATTATACATCTGATAGTTTTTTTTCTCCTTTATTTATTGATGGGCTAAATTTGAAATTTCAAATGATAATTTACTCATACTTAGATAATGTAACATGAAATTGAACAACTTGAGCAAGTTTTATAAATATGTTTACGGAATGAAAGACATTTTCAATCGTAGAGATAAAAAAGAAATGTACGTTACACTACATTTTTCCATTAGGAATATATACAGTGGACCCTAATTTATCCGGACGCTTTGGTTCCCAATCAATTTGTCCGGATATTTGAAGCAACCGGATATCTGAATCACCAGTTAAACAAGACAGAATAACATTTTAAAATTTCGTTCCGATGAAAAATCGTTCAGATACTGAAGCATCCGGATATCTGGCGTCCAGATATCTGAAGGTCCACTGTATTAAGTAGTAAATATGAGGCGACTCTGAGTAAGCAACCCCTTGTACCCTGTTAACTGGCAAAGACGTTTTGCTTAACACAATTAAAAATTATTTTTTACATGAAAAGTTGTCATTCGAAATGTACGTGACTGAAATGTACGTTACCATGAAATTGTAACTAAATGAATCTCTCACG